CTTTCAAGGATCACGTAGAGAGGGTTGTGACAAAGACTGAAAAAGGTCTAAATGCACTAAAGATAATTTCAGCGACGGACATGGTGTAGAGAACGCTGTTCGCACTTTACTTAATCATCTCAGTGATTGATTATCGATTGGGGTTACTCACTGTTTCGAAGATTGAGCTAGAGAAACTGGAGTGCATACAGAATAAAGCTATGCGGCTAATCCTTGGATGTGCAAGAGACACCCCGATTTTGTGCATGCGAAACATCCATGCATTGCCGACTATTGCAGATAGGCTCAAAATGCTGCAGGCTAAGACATACCTCAGAGCAGCTGCAGAGAGGGAACACCCTCTGTATGAAGCTTTGGCTGCAGGTAAGGGTCAGAGGCTGAAAAGGTAAAAATAGTGGATGGCTCAAACACAATAAGACAAGTATGCATGCTGGAAAACATTTTTAGAGGAGAGGATTGGGTCAGAGTTCCAGCGGAAAAGTCTAACTTGTGTAAGATTTTGATCACACTGGGCCGGGTGTGCAGAAAGTGGCCAGCGGGTGTTACGGGGGTGGAAGTCCAACAGTTTATTCACAACAATTCACGACCAGGTGACCTGAATCTCTTTATAGATGGTTCTGTGTTGAGAGGAAAGAGAAGTGCCTGGAGATTTGTAGCGAAAGCCTATGAAAAATCTTTAGTGCAAGACAGCCTAGCATACGATACCACAACATCTAGCAAGAGAATGGGGGTGGAGGCGGTAACTGCAGCTCTCCGGTGGCTAGAAAACGAGATGCTTACACATATCGTAATTGTAAGAGACTCTGAAAGTATGCTGAGAAAGGTGAAGACGTGGATGCTTCCAGCAGAGTGGCAAGCCTCACTGGAAAGGTCACGGGTAGTGAGCATACTTTGGGTCTTTTCTCCAGGCTATGCCGGCGTGGTGGGTATTGAACAGTCAGACAGATTGGCAAACAAGTTGACTACTTGAGACCGTGAGCAGTCCTAGTCCATAATCAGTCACCGAAAGGATCAGGTGCTGATATAGTGTGAAAAGCATTCTCTGCCGTATGTCGATTGCAGCCATAATCTTGAGTACATTAAGTCCCTTTTGGCATCTTGTCACAACCGTCTCCACATGGTCTTTGAAGGACAACCTCCTGTCAAATGTGATTCCCAGATACTTCAGTTCGCTCTCTCTGTTACCGTTTCTACGATCTATTGTGAGACTCGGTACATCAGCTCTAACAATCCAGTTGTCCAGAGAACACAACAAAACAGACCCCATTTCTGGGTGGACGACAGCACTCATGTCTGCACTCCAGTCAGTCACTTTGTCTATTGTCGCCTTTAGCTCCTGGGCTGTTTGTTCCTTCTCTCTCCCATCCCTATATGCGAGAATGGCATCTGCAAATGTCAACATCCTTCCGACCTTTGGCGGCTTTTAGGCTTGCAGTCTTTCTCGTATACACGTTAAAGAGCACAGGTGAGATGGTGGATCCCTATGGCAGTCTCGGAGCTATAATGTGTGACTCTCAGGTCCATAAACCCAGAGGAAGAGCAGCCCGACGAGAATACAGGACAGCTGCTATCCAGGGACCAGCCAGGGACTGATCCCCTTCTCCTTCAGTGAGATCATCAAAATGCCGTATCTAACTTTATAAAACACATCCTCGAGATCTAGCGCTGCCGCAATCGTTTCCTGTTTGTTCTGGAACCCTTCATAATTATGGAAGGCAAAAGTGGCTGCATGTGACCATGCATCTTTTCCTGATCTGTAGTTCCCAAGACATCCTGAAAGAAGCTTTCATATTTCTAAACATGCTTGCAGCTTGACAGCGACTATCTTTTCTGAGACTTCAGATGTATTTAGTAATGTGTTGATTCTAAGCTTTGAATGATCCTTGCATGGTTTTTGGAAGTAGCATCAGACAGCTGTGCACGCAGTCTTTCAGTACTGATGCTGTTCTAATGCTCTGGTTGAAGCAGTCGGTCATCTCCCTCAGGCTTTATGTCGCTTTACGTAACCCGAATGCAGTGCCTTTGGCATTTTCCCAAATATGTTTATTAACTTCAACTGGTTTGCTGTCTGAAGACCTAGAACCATACAACAAATTCAGAAACTTGGAGATAATTGTTACGTGACATCTTTTGTGAAGTCATGCGTCGTTGGACGTGTTCTATCGTGTAGTTGTCTACATCAGATAAACTGAAGAAAACTTATGTTTTATTCGACTTGTGTGTATATATATAAATTTCTACCAGAAACCATTTCAATGCAAGTAAATAACAGAAGGAAAGAGAGAGAGAGAGAGAGAGAGAGAGAGAGAGAGAGAGAGAGAGAGAGAGAGAGAGAGAGAGAGAGAGAACACGTGTATTTAAATATCTACAGACAATTTTCACGCCAGAAGAAAGAATGGATGTAGAAAACAACATACACTGCAAACGCAAATCAGATTCAGGTGCAGCTAACACCGCTTTTGACATATAAAGGCACACGTTACATCAACCAGAACAGAATGGGAGTTGTTAGCCTAAAAACACTTAGAGACATACTCTAGAGGAGATCGGAGCACTTATGGTCGTGTCCGATGTGCAATGAAGATGATTTCTAACATGAACTATGAAAGCTTGTCTATAAATGAAAATCTAATCAAACTTATGTTTTGGTTAACTGTATGCTAGCAGCGTCCAAACGTGTGCCCTTACTAAAATTAATAAGCACAAAAACATAAGTACAGAGATGAGATGTCAAAAAACCTGCTGGGGAAATAAGATGTAAAAGTAAAAAAGAAGACATAAGAAGAAGGCTAGGGCTGAAATCAGCTATACGGTTGCTTCTTCTGTCTTCTATCCCCCAGTGGGATAGCCCTCGACCAGTCACGCCAGATCGTTCTATCCTTAGCTATCGTACAGAGCTCTCCCCATGTCCTCCCCATCTTTTTTTTTTATGTCACTCTCTCGTAGCCTTCTCTTTGTGTGTTTTGGTCTTAATCTATTTGTGTGTCTTCATGGACTACCAGGTACCCATTCAAAGCTGGGTCAACCTAGGAGCCAAAGTTATTTCTGCGCCGCCATAGACTGTACCTGGTACCCATTCAAAGCTGGGTCAACCTAGGAGCCAAAGTTATTTCTGCGCCGCCATGGACTGTACCTGGTACCTATTCAAAGCTGGGTCAACCTGGGTCAACCTGGGAGCCAAAATTATTTCTGCGCCGCCATGGACTGTACCTGGTACCTACTCAAAGCTGGGTCAACCTGGGAGCCAAAATTATTTCTGCGCCGCCATGGACTGTACCTGGTACCCACTCAAAGCTGGGTCAACCTGGGAGACAAAATTATTTCTGCGCCGCCATGGACTGAAACTGGTACCCACTCAAAGCTGGGTCAACCTAGGAGCCAAAATTATTTCTGCGCCGCCATGGACTGTACCTGGTACCCACTCAAGGATGGGTCAACCTAGGAGCCAAAATTATTTCTGCGCCGCCATGGACTGTACCTGGTACCCGCTCAAAGCTGGGTCAACCTAGGAGCCAAAATTATTTCTGCGCCGCCATAGACTGTACCTGGTACCTACTCAAAGCTGGGTCAACCTGGGAGCTAAAATTATTTCTGCGCCGCCATGGTCTGTACCTGGTACCCACTCAAAGCTGGGTCAACCTGGGAGCCAAAATTATTTCTGCGCCGCCATGGACTGTACCTGGTACCCACTCAAGGCTGGGTCAACCTAGGAGCCAAAATTATTTCTGCGCCGCCATGGACTGTACCTGGTACCTACTCAAAGCTGGGTCAACCTGGGAGCCAAAATTATTTTCTGCGCCGCCATGGACTGTACCTGGTACCCACTCAAGGCTGGGTCAACCTGGGAGCCAAAATTATTTCTGCGCCGCCATGGACTGTACCTGGTACCCACTCAAGGCTGGGTCAACCTGGGAGCCAAAATTATTTTTGCGTCGCCATGGACTGTACCTGGTACCCACTCAAGGCTGGGTCAACCTAGGAGCCAAAATTATTTCTGCGCCGCCATGGACTGTACCTGGTACCCACTCAAGGCTGGGTCAACCTGGGAGCCAAAATTATTTCTGCGCCGCCATGGACTGTACCTGGTACCCACTCAAGGCTGGGTCAACCTGGGGGCCAAAATTATTTCTGCGCCGCCATGGACTGTACCTGGTACCCACTCAAGGCTGGGTCAACCTGGGGGCCAAAATTATTTCTGCGCCGCCATGGACTGTACCTGGTACCTACTCAAGGCTAGCTCGACGTGGGATCATTTCTGAAAAAAAAAGTCTGGCTCCCTCAGGACCTGAACCCACCTAAATCCGCAGGCGAGCGAATAGCCGCTACACCACGGCGGCTCCTCAGTTTGTGTGTGTGTATGTATATATATTTATATATGAGGGCTGTCTGGTCTCGAGGTATGGTGTCCGCATCGAGTACTGGAGGCCTCGGTGAAGGCAGGGATTTGTTTTTTGTTTTCCACGTGGAATTCTAGTAATTTTGCCTGGTCTCGGGAAGTGAGATCAGACGCCCATTTGTATTGTTGTGCAATTTTGTTTTTAATCTGACCGAGCGGTTACAATGTCCGGCTCTTATGCGGGAGACCCTGGTTCGACCCCCGGTAAGAGGATGGATGTTTTTCTTGTAGGGGACACAAATTAAACATCCTAAACTGTACAGTCTGTGGCGACAGCACTAGCTCTGCGGCCCTGAATCCTCAGACTCACGACTCCCTGTCTACGCCGCCATAAAAAGTGGTACATACAGACAGTAGTGACAAAACTATATTTATCTGCAGTTCATAACATTATTATTATTATTATTATTGTTACTGTTATTATTAATATTATTATTATTATTATAAGCCTAATCAGGGCTTAGTCTTCCTG